ACACAACAACACAGTTTGTTAAACATCAACACTGTAGTATCTACACAACAACACAGTTTGTTAAACATCAACACTGTAGTATCTACACAACAACACAGTTTGTTAAACGTCAACACTGTAGTATCTACACAACAACACAGTTTATTAAACATCAGCCCTGTAATATCAACACAACAACACAGTTTGTTAAACATCAGCACTGTTGTATCTTCACAACAATACAGTTTGTTAAACGTCAACACTGTAGTATTTACACAACAACACAGATTGTTAAACATTATCACTGTAGTATCTACATAACAGCACAGTTTGTTAAACATCAACACAGTAGTATCTACACAACAACACAGTTTGTAAAACATTATCACTGTAGTATCTACACAACCATACAGTTTGTTAAACGTCAACACTGTAGTATCTACACAACAATAAGGTTTATAAAACGTCAGCACTGTAGTATCTACACAACAACACAGCTTATCAAACAACAGCACTGTAATATCTACACAACAACACATTTTGTTAAACATCAGCACTGTTGTATCTTCACAACAACACAGTTTGTTAAACGTCAAAACTGTAGTATCTGCACAACAACACAGTTTGATAAACGTCAGCACTGTAATATCTACACAACAACACAGTTTGTTAAACATCAGCACTGTAGTATCTTCACAACAACACAGATTGTTAAACATCAACACTGTAGTATCTTCACAACAACACAGTTTGTTAAACGTCAACACTGTAATATCTACACAACAACACAGTTTGATAAACGTCAGCACTGTAATATCTACACAACAACATAGTTTGTTAAAAATCAGCACTGTAGTATCTTCACAACAACACGGTTTGTTAAACATCAGCACAGTAGTGTTGTAGTATCTTCACAACAACACGGTTTGTTAAACATCAGCACAGTAGTGTCTTCACAACAACACAGTTTGTAAACATCAACACTGTAGTATCTACACAACAACACAGTTTGTTAAACATCAGCACTGTAGTATCTTCACAATAACACAGATTGTTAAACATCAGTACTGTAGTATCTTCACAACAACACAGTTTGTTAAACGTCAACACTGTAGTATCTACACAACAACACAGTTTGATAAACGTCAGCACTGTAATATCTACACAACAACATAGTTTGTTAAACATCAGCACTGTAGTATCTTCACAACAACACGGTTTGTTAAACATCAGCACAGTAGTGTCTTCACAACAATACAGTTTGTTAAACATCAACACTGTAGTATCTACACAACAACACAGTTTGTTAAACATTATCACTGTAGTATCTACACAACAACACAGTTTGTTAAACATCAACACTGTAGTATCTTCACAAGAATGGTTTGTAAAGCATCAGCACTGTAGTATCTTCACAACAACACAGTTTGTTAAACACCAGCACTGTAGTATCTTCACAGCAATACAGTTTGTTAAACATCAACACTGTAGTATCTACACAAAAACACAGATTGTTAAACATCAACACTGTAATATCTACACAACAACACAGTTTGTTAAACATCAGCACTGTAGTATCTTCACAACAACACAGTTTGTTAAACATCAACACTGTAGTATCTTCACAAGAATGGTTTGTAAAGCATCAGCACTGTAGTATCTTCACAACAACACAGTTTGTTAAACACCAGCACTGTAGTATCTTCACAGCAATACAGTTTGTTAAACATCAACACTGTAGTATCTACACAAAAACACAGATTGTTAAACATCAACACTGTAATATCTACACAACAACACAGTTTGTTAAACATCAGCACTGTAGTATCTACACAAGAATACAGTTTGTAAAACATCAGCACTGTAGTATCTATATAACAACACAGTTTGATAAACGTCAGCACTGTAGTATCTACACAACAATACAGTTTGTTAAACATCA